GTTGTCCTAAATTGACATCTAGTAATGTGTCGTACGATATATGTGATGAAAAATGTCACGTGATACAAAAAATCTAAATTTGTTCGTTTACTGTGAAACTATAATCCATTCGTCAATACAACTCGATCAATTACGAGATATAAGTGTGTGCCAATCTCGATTATTTATCATATGTTTCATCCCACTATTAAGTCAAGTTTTTGACTTATAAGTACTCCTTTATCAATGATTTTGTTATCAATTTAATTAAATGAAATGTGTATCATAATCTCTTACCATCTAAAAGTGACGAATCCTCTATTGATTATTCACAATCTTCATATAATTTCTGACATATTCGAATGATGTCATATTAGTGACTCTTGCTAGAGTAACATCCAACATTATCAAAGTACAACGGTCCCCATATCAAGTATTATGATGACCTCAAGTCGAAAGATCAATTCCTCTACCGAACATTAGAATTTAACCACTGACATTTAGATAGTTATGCATGAGAAATCCCCCAAAAGGTCTCCAATACATAGTTTTATAACAAAACATCCACATGTTCATTTAAGTGCCATCACACTTTAGTTTGTGAGATCAACTATTTACTTCGCAAGTAAGAAATGTCACAAGTGATGGTTTATTCGTAATAGCAATATCAATATCTTGTTATTAGTTACGACCACAGATTATTTAAAATTCAGTCATATGTAGTTTTATTTCACAATCACAACTCTTTGTGATTAACAAATTATCAAGATTTGAATCTAATGATTTTACTATTTAATTTATTAGAATATTAATTCAATTAAAAAATAGATCAGTCATAAATGGCATGAATCAATTATATATTAAAAGTGTTTATATTTAAAGTTGATTGGACCTAAAGCGTAACACTTCCAAAAACTTTATTGGTATATTTTAATCTGTTTTTTCATCATCTAATCCAAGAATGCCACCTCTCTCTCTCTCTCTCTCTCCCCCCCCGTGTGTATATGTGTGTGAAACTCCCTTGTATGTATGATTTTTGGACTGCATTGTAAGTTGTTTTGACACTAATTGATAAGTGTATTTTATACA